ACAACTACGAAAATATTATTTCCCTCAGATGATGCTGTCCTATGAAATTCACATATAATTCAAGTCTGAACAATAGGGCATTTGGGTAGGAAATGCTATAAATAAAATGTAGGTCCTAAAAATACCTGTTGTTTAGTGGGTGTTTGTAGTAATAGCTTTGTTCTACAGGAAGACAAAAACTCCCTAACAAAGGAATTAATGTATTGCTTTAATAAGCTGCACCCGAGTTAAGTTTTAAAATTTATGAGTTCTCTGCAGCATTGTTCTTTAAACAATGGCATTGTCAAATGCAACCATGAGAAGATTAAAGTTCTCCCAGCAGATTAAGTACAAATTATCTGTCCTCCTGTTTCAGCATCATTTGTTCATTTATCACATAACGTCTAGCATTCCTGGTCAGTGTCAATACGCTCTGCATCCTTGCAGCTAACAGATGTCTACTCTTGTCGAATGAATTGCTTTATGTTTCACGCACTGCTGGCCGCAGATGTGTCACTATAGCAACATCATTAATTTCAGATCTTACTGGAAACGTGCACTCCAATCAAACCTAATTATACCACATAGCTTTCTTGTCCACAAGAAGGAAACCATAATGCAATTATTGGGACATTTCATTTTCTATTCTGCTGTGGCAAATGAGAGGGCCACTGTGATGGACGCTTCATGTCAAAAAGCTTATTAATGAAGCACAAACCCAATTTACAATCATATGAAGGACCACCTTACAATTATGTTGGTAATGTAAGGCTCCTCAGACAACAGCTCATTCTGGATCACTTCTCTGAGAACTCAGGCCAGTTAGGAGAAGCATGAAAACTGCTAGGTTCCTGGTTCCCCTTCTGATCCCCAGAGTCAGAATTCTTCATGCTGACAGCCAGCCAGCCACGACTAGAACCTGTCTGGACTGGGGACGCCAGGGGATGGCTAACACCTGACAGGCCTCTGAGATATACACTCAGAGGCATGTAAAGAGCAAATTTAACTATGCAATTAAAATATGACATACTAGGTGGAAAGAAGTAATGATTTATGGTTCTGGAATGTAGTATCATGCCGTCAATAACAAGTGTGTACTGTCTCAACTGGACACAAAAGGGGCAAGGCAGGCTGTGTGATTTTTCTGAGATTTCTATTTCTATGTTTGTCTGATGCCCCATTATCTAGATCTCAAATGGAAGAAACTCTTTGTACTGCTGAGGGATCTTACCGAGATCATAAGTAGTTCAAGGGGCAGTCAGGATTCAATTCTATGTCTATCTGATGTCAAAAAGTCAGACACTGTGAAACATCTGTGTTTTCATAGAACAAAATAAGAAAGTGTTGCTTAGCCATTTGCAGTAAGAGGATGGTTCTATGAGCTGGTCAGTGTGGGCTTCAGGAGAGGCCGTGGCACCACCTCTGTGGTCCTAAAGAGCCGGTCCAGATCCTTTCTCTGGCAGGAGTAGTGGAAGGTCCGGTTCTGAGACCAGGTGGTAAATCTAGAGTTCCCTGGGAGACATACCAGAGCCACAGAGAAAGGCTATAGCCAGCATGTCTAAATGTGCATGGGTTGACACATGGTCCACCGTGTGATTACTGAAAAAAGTCCCAAACAATATTCCAGTCCAAACAATTTAGAAACCCCACACAGGCTGTCTTTAGAAAAGCAATGACGCACATCAGGTTCTTATCAGTATCTACTGTACAGTTTTGTATAACTCTTCTCAAATCTCACTTACCAATTACTTGGTTCAAGAAGCACATTTTGCCTCACGATCCTAGGCAAAGACTACCTACTCTACCCTGATGGAACTCAAATGCTACAGCAAACAAGAGGAAACGGTAATTAAGGAGAATCCCATTATATGCAAAATAATTTGCATTAAATGCAAAATAATTAAACATTCTGAGGGTGAATACTGTCATGAAATGTTTACTTCTAAATGACATTAGACAGAGACACAGAAAGAGAAAGAACTAACTACTTGGGCTCTCTATAGCTCTTAGTACACACTTATTTGAAATGAAGATAAAAGAACGCGTCAGTACCATAGTCGAAATGCAACTGTGGATGCTGCCTCACCAGGGCCTTGAGTAAGCACCCTGGATGCATTGTGTCCATCCCATAAGAGGATATGGTGGTCAGCCAGTCCCTGGTGTGACATCTGTACTTGGGGCCCACATAGCACAGGGCCTGTGCCTTCAGAAAGAGCAATGCTGGAGGCTGGGCTCCTGAGCTCCAGCCCACAACAGGACAGAGGCCTTAGCCTCTCCTCCGACTTATCAGGAGGGTCTCAGACCACTGGTAGTGATGGTAGAGGGTCACTGATGTTCAACAGTGAGCTGGGGTTGGAATTATCAGACAAAGATTTTGACGAAACCACCAGAGAACATTTCAATTAAAAACCTACAAATTTTCTTAAAACAAATGAAAATATAGAAAATTTCAGCAAATTGAAATGAAACCAAATGGAAATGATAGGCTGAGACAAACGCCTTAATGCACAGGCTTACTGGTAAAAGGGAGACAGTAGTTTAAGGGTCAGTAGATTCAGAATAAACCAACCGTAGGCCCCAGGCTGATCCACAAGAAGAAAAGTCAGCAACAACAAGTAGAACTGTAGAACCGTAGGGCCTGGCAATAAAGACACAGCACACTTAGCACTGGAGTCTGAGAAGCGGAGAAGGATGGTGGCTTGAAAACAAATGTGTTCAGAGAAATGATAGTTGAAAGCCTCCAAATCTGATTTAAAAAACAAAAACAAAATAACCAAATTTATAGCCCAACAACTTAGCTAATCCAAAATTGGAAAAATCTCCAGCGAGCTAGGCTCAGAGACATCATAACTGAATTTTGAAAAGCTAACAAAAAGAGAAGCTCTTGAAGGCAGCCAGACAAGTGGTACATTCTCAAAGGGGACAGAGTGACAGCTTTCCAATCTGAACCATGAAGCCAGAGGAGATATATGTCCAAGAACTGAAACGAAAAACACCTGTCAAACCCCACATCCAGTACACATGAAAAAATACTTAGGACAGATTCATGCAATCACATACACCAAGTACTTCCTTGATGCGATAGAATGCCTGTTCTCTAATTATGATGCAATGTTATTACAGTGTTCCTAAGTTTTATCTATTTATGCTACTGTATGCTGTTGCTGTACTTCTGCTCTGTTTGTATTTAGAAATGCATTAGATTTTTCTATACACTAGATCATTGGTAACCATAAACATGTGGTTGGTAAGGAGACCACTGTTGAGGAAAAACTTGAGTTGGATGCTTAGAATTCAGTATTGTACTAAAGATACTTGATTCATTTTTCCCACAATGCTGCCCAACTTCCACTAAAGACGTGGCCTTTCGATAAATCTACGCTTTTCCCTTCATCACTTAAATTACTCACATTAACTTTTGCTTTATTTTGGACATCATTTGACTTTTGGGAGACATCCTTTCATTAAGGGCAGAAAAATACTCAGCAGATCACACAATGATTTAAACATCTGCCAATAATGTGGAATGGATAGAGTTTCATAGCAACTGCTTAGTGTAATACACATGTGGGAATTGAAACTTCTTAAATTTTTTAAAAAATTAAAAATGATTATTTTTTTACCACACTCGGTCAAAAATCACATGTAATAAATCTGTGAATAAAGTGGCTTACTCTACTGGTTTTGTTAAAATGACCTAATATTCATTTGTATTAAAAATCACTTATTAGATTTCCCATGTATGCTGTTCACTACGTAAAGTTGTTTTCCTTTTGCTCTTTTATTCATTTCTGATATGCTGTTACACGTCGATTCCTGAGGACCTTCCTTTTTTGATCAGGTTTCTCTATCTGCTGAAGAAGACAAACTGTAAGGAAATCAGAACAAAAATTCCTAAATTGAACTACAGTCACAAATTCACCATGAGAGCTGACATTTACAAAAATATCCATTTACTGAGTCTTCTGTTTCATTTCTTAGTAGTCTGCCCTTTCTGGTCCTCAAGATCTTGTCCACATGTTTGACAAGTGTGTAAGTTAATGTGAGTTGGAAGGCTTATTCTCAACTTAGACCTTAGGCAGCTGTTTTGATATTTTAATCTGCAACCTGCCATTCTACTGGTTTGTTAGGTTTAGTACTTATCAGCTGATTGCTTTGTCTGATTGTCACATCTGTTCTTCTTCTAGTTGTATACCTTATTTCGATTTCCTCTTTTACTGCCATGTCATAAGCTTCTATGATAAATATTAAATTACAGTGTTGTGAACTCTACCTTCTTCTATAGTAAGAGTTTTTCCAAGATTTAATTATTAAAAATTATGTTGAATCTTGTTTTGAGATATATTTACTTAATCATGTTATATACATATTTTTTCATTTCTAGTTACTTAACAAAGGAATTTAAGTCACATATCAATAAATCAATGAGGAATTTTAACTTTTGCCTACGGCTTTTATTAGAGTAGATTCTTTTTATTTGTCCTATATTTGGTATGTTCCTAACTTGTAAGAATTATTTGACTGAAAGAGAAAATACAATATAAGGACAAGTATTTTGAGCACAAAGCTGTAGGGTAGGATGGTTGAAATAAAGCTCTTTAGAAGAATGTGATTGTTAAATCTGCATGTCTTTTAATGGTTACAAGGATCATCCTTTAAGCTGGGCACTGGTTGGCTCATGCCTGTAATATTAGCTACTCAGGAGGCTGAGATCTGAGAATTGCAGTTCAAAACCAGCCTGGACAGGAGAGTTAGAAAATACCTGTTGGATTATAGAACATTCAAAATACAAAGGTAAATAGCTAAGTTCCAGGAGCATAACATTTTGCTAACTCTGAGGATATTACACACATTAGAAGATGAAGTTATGTGAGCAGTTTTCAAAGACAGCTTTACAGTTTCGTTTTCAAACCGTAAGTGTGAACTCAACAGTTTATGATGACACCCACATCCATGTGTGGGCAAGTGCAACTAGAGTATTTTTGATTGGGTGTCATATGGCAAGCAAACGAGAGCACTACCTGTTTTGTCTGTCAGTAAGTATACCAGACGTCCCAGCTCCTCTGGTATGGTGCTGGTACGAACAACCGTGCCAGGGATACTCTCGTCTTTCATAATCATCCATCCGTATGCTGCCTTGCCCATGTCCAAGTTCACACGCAGACTGCCAAGTAAGAACATTGCTATCGTTAGTGCTTCTAATCCATATGATATAAGCACACTCATAGTATCATGTAAACAAACATATCTTATATGCATTCTTAAGTTTCATGCAAATTAGGAAGTTTGATTTCAGACCTTTGTTGTTGTTGATGTTGTTGGATGTAGGGACTGAACTCAGGGCCTACGCACTGTCCCTGAGCTTTGCTGAGCCACAGCTCCACTTCGAGTTTTCTCTTTCCTGCCCAAGCTGGATATAAACTGAGATCTTCAGATCCCAGTCTCTTGAATAGCTAGGATTACATGCGTGAGCACTAGCACCTGGTGATTTCAGACTTTTAAGATACTTAAATTTGCGGGTATTTAACAAATGGTTTTACATCCCAGATATTTTAAGGTGACAGGAAAGTGTGAGCTCCTTCCCCCTGCATGTGTTATAGAAACAGAGGAAGTAAGATTCTAAGTTCCCCCTTAAGCCCCAAAGGACTATAAGCTCAAAGGACAGTGGAATAAACATGCTTAAGGAAATAAAGTAAGGGTTATGGCAAGTAAATACAAAAAATGGGTCTTAAAGTTTATCTATTTATTTTGAATGTCTCATGTGAGTTGAATGTCGATACCCAGAAATAAGTAGGATGTGACAGGATCAATGCAGAGCTGTGTCTCTGCTTTCTAGTTATCTTTAATATTCATCCTTTATGCTGTATGATAAGACTGTAATTTAAAACACACAATGGATCATTCTACCTGAGACAACTCTGAAATAATCCCACCTAAAGTATGGAATGAAATAGATGACCTCCAGGAGAATTTTCCAGGCCTAGTAAAAGGCAGCGACATGGCACCACATACCAAAATTGTATCATCCTGCAAGTGAGCATGGTACAATTCTTCCCTATATATCATTTGGAAAATACTGTCTCTAGTTTAATGCCATAAAAACCAGCAGATACATATACCACTGAGAGGATTTGCTGAGAATCAAATTTTGGGACCTACTGATATGGCTTAGTCTATTAATAAATACATGTGTAAAAAAATCCTTAGAAATCATAATCAGTGAAGTATATATGTTAAAGAGCATTAAATATTTATAACTTGTGCCTTACCTGTCCAGAATTTACATCTTTAAAAAAACATAAAAACTAAAGTCTTTATTAAAGATAGTGGCTTACACCTGTAATCCTAGCTACTTAGGAGGCTGAGATGTAAACATTGCAGTTTGAAGCCAGCCAGGGGCAGAGAGAGGCCCTTATCTCCTACTGACTAGCAAAAAGATGGAAGTTGAAGCACAGATCAGATGGTAGAGCACCAGCCCAATTCCAGTGACAACAACCCTAAAATGCACATGGGAGCAAAAAAACCCCTAAATAGCCCTAACAATCATGAACAAAAAGAACAATGCTAGAGGTATTCCAATACCTGACCTCAAATTATTTCACAAGGCCACAGTAACACAAACTAGCCTGGCACTGAACAAAAACAGACTGGTAGACCAATGGAGTAGAATGCAAGACCCCGAAACAAAACCACACAACTAGTTATCTGATTCTTGACAAAGATGTCAAAAACATACAGTGGAGAAAAGACAGTCTTTTGAATAAATGGTGCCGGGAAAACTAAATGTCCACATGTAGGTGAGTAGAGCCCCTCTCTCACCCTGTGCAAAAGTCAAATTCAAAAACAGAGTGAAAGCAAGAGGCCCTGGGTGTTAGTAGCAATTAAAGAAACATCTTCAAGGTCCCTTTATACTCAACCATGAGCAATTTTTTGCTTAATAAAATAATTTCTGTTGTTAAAGAAAGCATCATTAGGGTACAAAAATAAATAGAACAAGCACCCACAGAAAGGTAAAAAACAGTAACATGTGTATTTCCTTAACTAAAATAATAATCCTATACAGAGAGTGGCAGTGTCACATGTACTGGTAGTCATATAGTATATTTTGATCAAGTATTAATGAAGTATCTGCTTTTTCATGCGAAAAGTCTGTAAGATGCTTATTTCAAATACTAAGCTAATAGAATAATTTTTATCACTATGCTTAACTTCCTTCTTAGCAATGCCCTAATTTATTTTATTTTATTTTTTGGCCTGTCCTAGGGCTTGAACTCAGGGCTTTGGCACTCTCCCTGAACCTCTTTGGGCTCAAGTCTAGCACTCTATCAGTTGAGCCACAGTGCTACTTCCAGCTTTTTCTGAGAAGTTTATTGGAGAAAAGGGTCTCATGGACTTTCCTATCTGGGTTGGCTTGCAAACTGTGACCTTCAAATTTCAGCATCCTGAGTAGCTAGAATTACAGGCATAAGCCACTGGCACCAGATGCAATGCCCTAATTTTGAAGAATTTCAAAACCTAGACCTCTATGCAACTGTTAAATATCAACTGAGTCACGATCTGTGGTTCCACAAAATATAGTCAAGTCTCACATTTAAAGGTTTGTGCAAACAGGTTAGTGGGGAATAAACATGAGGGCCCTTGAAGTTCATCTACTGCTTATACAGGAACTGTGAAACTGTTGTTGACCCACCCATTCCAGGTAAATGGAGGCTATTTCTGATGATTAAATGAACATTTATGACCTTTGCTGCTAGTAAATAGGAAAATGAATCACCTTGGGCCAACTGTGTGCTCACGGATGTTATCAATAAGAGCATTAAAAATCCAGTTTTTGCTATGGGAAGACATGAACTAAATTTTAGGATTTATGATTGCCTTAATGGTAGTTTCCTGTCTAAATATTTTAATCCTATAGTTACAAAAAGGACTGAGGAAGTAATTTGAGCCAAATAAAGCTGAAGTGCAGTTACCTAAGATACACAATATGATCCCATTTAGGCCCCAGGATGCTGGCTATATTCAAGCTCTAATTTGTTACAATTAAACCTCACCACTGATCACTGCCAGGTGAGCCAGTCCCCGCTCCAGCATAAGATATGCACACAATTTTCCTCAGGGAATGAATCTACCGAAATAATGCACATGCAGAGTCTGATCTGAGCAAAAGAAAACAGAAGTAATTTTCATCGGAAAAAGTCATCAAAACCTTTTCTTGTAAATTACAAAGCCAAATGGATACAGATATGCTACTTTATAAGAAGTCTTCTTAGTGTTGTTGGGTGGTACCACACATTATGTCATTTCCCTGTGTGAGCCACGCCTGCACGGCATGGAGGGGGCACCGCATCTCCAGAACTAACAGGTCCTGCTGCCTGTTGGGTAGATGACCGTCAGTGGAACAAATGCCTTTAACAAACAGAACAGTGGAGGACAACACGCTCACTCCCTTGCCTTACAGGGCAAACAAACAACATCTATTCTTCTCATCATCCTTTCTAGTCTAATCCAGTTTGGTGCTTAAATTCTTAGGCCGAGCAGTAAGGCAAGAGGAAGAAATAAAAGGAGTACCAATAGGAAAGGAAGAAGTCAAACTACTCCTATTTGCAGAGGAAATGATTCCATACTTACAAAGACCCTAACGACTCTACCAGAAATCTTTATATTTGATAAACACTTTCAGCAGATACAAGTGCAATATACAAAAATCAATAGCTTAAAAAAAACACCAACAGTGAACACGCAGAGGAAGACATCAGGAAAATAATCCCACTCACACAGTTCAAAAAGAATAAAACATCGAAGAATAAACCAAACTAAGGAAGTGAAAGACTTCTATGGTTAAAAAAAAGTAGAAAACACTGAAGAAAGAAATTAAAGAAGACATTACAAGATGGAAAGATCATCCACTTTTTACAGACTGGCAGAATTAATATTGTCAAAAGGCTCTATTACTGATAGTGATCTACAGAACCATTATAATTCCCATCACCATTGCAATGACATTTTTCACAGAAATTTTAAAAAATCCTAAAATATACATGGAAGCACACACACAAAAAAAACAACCCTAAATAGCCCAAACAATCATGAACAAAAAGAACAATGCTGGAGGTATCCTGATGCCTGACTTCAAATTATATTACAAGACCATAGTAACAAAAATCAGCCTCGTACTGAACAAAAACAAGATACATAGACTAAGGATTAGAATGTGAGACCCAGAAATAAAACCACATTACTATAGTTATCTGATTCTTGATAAAGATGTCAAAAACATACAATGGAGAGAAGATAGTCTCCTTAATAAATGGTGCTGGGAAACCTAGATGTCCACATGCTGGTGACTGAAACTATAGTCCTCTCTCTCTCACCCTGTGCAAAAGTCAATTCAAAATGAATTAAAAACCCTAATGTAAGATCTGAGGGCTTGTGGGTATGATTCAAGTAGTAGAATATCAACGCATTTGGCTCTGAGTTCAAACCTATTGCTGTCATTGTTTCCTATGACACAATTATACAGGGAAAATTCAACATACTCTGATTAAGTGCCAAATCCATAAATTCATATATTTAATAAAATATTTTTTGCTAAGCACTATGGCTCATAGCTGTAAATCTAGCTACTTCAGAAAGCTGAGTGCTGAGGACTACAGTTGGCCACTAGCCTGGGCAGGAAAGTCTGGGAGAGTTCTCTCCAATTAACCAGCAAAAAGCAGGAAGTAGTTCAAGTAGGAGAGCGGTAGCCTTGGGCACAAAAGCTCTGGGACAGTACCCAGGCCCTGAGTTCAAGCCCAAGGACAGGCACAAAAAAAAAAAAAATTAAAAATTAAAAAAAATATATTTTCTTTATTCCAGCAATAAAGAGATATTAAATAGGACTTTAAAATACTTACAATGGTATTTTAAAATATCAAGTATTTAAGAATTGCTCTAATAAGAATGGTCATTCATTTCTGTGGGGAAATGTTAATTAAGGACCTAAATTAAATTAAGAACTATGCCAAATTCATGACCAAGAAGGGTCCAAGCACTCTTGAAGAATACAAGGAAAGCCTTGTGTCAAATAATGACTTATCACAAAGGTATGTTTATGACAGGCTGCTATTTGGTCAGGAATAGACAAGCAGGCCACAGAAACAAAATCAAGTTCTCCAGACAGGCCTC